AATCATCGATAGATCACGTGATATTAATAGTTTTCGATTTTTATTCCAGTGATGCGTTATTTTTGATCGCCACTGTACATATATGCTAGTAGAGTTTAAATTATTATATCAAAGAAAGTTTATCGAATGAAATTAGCTATCTAGATTTTCGATTTTATTAAAAAAAGGTTTAACTGATTAGTTGTGAAAATACATTTTTGGGAATCACAACATACTCAGAGACGATTATAAGCGGCTCGTGCACTTTCAAGAAAATCATATGCGAAAATAAGTTTACGTTGAATAAACTTGTTTATTTTATTTATGATAAAACCCAAATTTCATAGAACCTCAGAAACATTTACAGTATTCAACAATTTTCTATACACCACTACAAGAAAAAATGAAATATAAATTTATAATTAACAAACATGGTAAAAATTTTAATATGGAAATTAACATAAATAAATATTCCCTCCAATCCTTTCATTATGCGCAGTAACCTCTTGACAATTTTCATTGTTAACTGTAAAAGTAACATCATGACTACGTAAAATGTTACCTGAAATATCTTGTATATATGTAAATGATATCTTGAGAATTTTTTACTAGCAATACTAGAAAAGACCTTTGGTTTAATAGTTCCAATATTCATGATGATTAACATATGCTCGTATATGAATTATATATAATAAACAAATTAAAAAAAAATTTATTTTCCAATAAATACTTAAATTTTACACACCCGAAGAATATCCATTAAGGCAGTGATAGTGATGGGCATTGGAAGAATTGGAAGTCCAAAATTGCTTCCAATTTCTAACGCCCATCACTGCATTATTGATTTTTGGGTTGTAAAATTATTTTCATTCCATAACAAATTAGATTTCCATTTGAATTATACTGTATTTTCCAAATGACAAAGGGAGGATACAAAATAATAAATTAAATTTTAATAATTGATAAAAATAGGAAGATGTTTATGCTCTTTCCGTTTACAAAATATTTCCGCCATATGCTTTAATTTAACAACCGAACCCGTTCTTATGAAATTACAATTAATTGAAACAACGTTATTAAAAAGCCGATTTAATTCTCCCATATGTAACCTTGTTATAATCATCACGATCTAAATAATAATGACTTTGGATACTTTGAAAAAGATATTGTTTAAGTTCTTTGATATCATTAATTTCAGCTCCATAACAGAGCATCCTAAAATTCCGTAATAAATCTCCACATCCTTTTTCAGAACAATATCTTAATAATTGTAATTTACTTTTGTAAGTATCTTTGAACACCGTAAAAGTTATATCTATCTTGAAGGTTCGTCAAAAGTATTTACAACGCTTGGAATTTTAATGATTTTTATCATATTGACACAAAATACTAATTGAGTTATTTATCATAGATTTTGTTGAGTAACAACAAGATCTAGCTTGCCTGACCAAAAGTTCGGGATGGTCATTTCCATCGTATCTTTGTAAAGTTCCCATTATCTTTTCTTTTTTTTTTTTGTATAAAAAAAAAAAAAGATATGGGAACAGTTCACGAAATCACGTGACATATATTTTTATCACCCAGTGTCAAATCCTATTTGTCACACTTAATGTCATTTCGTGACTAAAAACCATCGCTGCGTCGGATCCTCTGATTAATTCAAAATGTTTTATAAAAAACTCGTTAATTATTTGTTGTAAACATCTATTAATTACAGTATATAAGCCTCAAAAAAAATATAAAATAGAAAAATAATAAAAATAGTAAATAATAAATAAAATTTTCAAGCCAATTTATAAAGGCACGATGATTTTAACATAATAATAAATTAAACTTGATTGATCATTTTACCTTTTTTTTTATTTCACATGAATTAAGTTAATTCTTTCTTTTTTGCTTAGAGCGTATATTCTTAGTTTACTAATATCTTACTATTTCAATTCTATAACATTAATAGCAATAGTGACGAAAAACTTATGGCCCAACGGAGATATGCTGCGATATATGCTATTGCAATAGTCTTTTGCTGCATTTGTATAGTTCAATTTCCGTTGGTTTTCATATGTCCCGCTCTTGGTAATGTATTTTGTCGACAAAAAAAAAATGCATCTCATGTTTTTTTTCCTTAAATAAACATCGCAAATAATCTCTTTTACTTTTAAGAAATTTATAAAATAATCATGTACGAAAAATATCATCTTCCGATTCAAAAAAGCATAGAATATATGTAAGTTCCTCGGAATTCTTCCATCGTTTCACATGTATCCTCATTTATAACCTACCATTTCTCAACGAAAAACGAAAACACGAAGGTATCTTTCGCTAGCGTTTAGTCATGTTGGTAAGAGGATCCTATAAAGAAAAGATTTTGAAGTTATCGTTTGAAGTTGACGCTTTTTTTTCGTTAATTTTGCGTTCATGTTGATATTTTTTTAGCTTTACATATATTATTATTCCTTTGCTGCTGCTTTTGTAATCGAAAACAACTTGACCTGGAGTTTAGGTAATTGATATTGCGATTTTTAACTTTTTAACATCCTTAACTCGATTAACAAATGAAAAAATTAAATTTTGCCCTTTATAATTGAAAAAAATAAATATAGTATCGCAACAATCTTGTGGCTTGTTATCCCAAGTAAATCTAACATTTTTTTTTTTTTTTAAAAATGAAACTATAATATGATTAAGTTTTACTTTCTTATTTTTACCAATTCGTCTTCTTTCTCTCTATCTCTATTTTCTTCTTTTTTTTTTTTTTTATTGTAAAAAGCTATTTATACCTATTACACAGCACATGAGTTAGGAGATATTCCGTTCTTTTGTCCGACCGACTTTCCTTATATGAACTCAATGCTTTTGCCATTATGTAAATTAAGGGTAGCCAATTTATTTTGTATGTGGTTGATGTCTATAATTACATTATTGGCTACCATATTAATGTGTATCCCCGAAGATACTTACAAAAGATTTGTTGGGGATGATTGATAAACGGTGTCTAACGGGGCGTGAAAAATGAGCAGTGACGAGAACTCGGGTCAAAATTTTTATCGGTTAGGGTGAATCGGATTAAAGGATGTGAACATAAATTGAATAACATTTCATTTATGGACAATTAAATTTTTATAACTTGTTTTTTCAACGTTAACAATTCTTTAAATCTTAAATAAATGGTTTCTTAAATCTTTTAATTGTAATATCAAAGGAAAAGTTATAACTAAAATAAATAAATATATTATACAACAAAAAAAAGAAATGAAAAGTAATAATAATAATAATAATCATCACATATACACAATTCTAAAAATTTACATAAAAGACACATTCCTATCTCTTTCCATTGTCCAAACAAACCAACATGGCCCCCACATCATTACCACATTTGCTATTCTGCCTCGGTCTCCTTTGCACTTTATTAACGACCCGTTTCTTCTCTCGGTCATCATTAAATCCCATGCGTAAAATGAAATTATCTCCTTCAACTCCGACAAAAGTTATAATGAATATTATCGTGATAAATCTTATCCACATAAGTATGATATTCGAAGCCCTAACTTTACAAATGCGTTGCATCGTTACGGAGGGATACTTGTATTCGGATGGACAAAAGAACGGAATTTCACCCAATTCTTTGACGGTGTAATACGTGTAGGTTGCTTGTTCGCATAATTTTGAAAGGAAAAATAAAAGAATTGAGATTGGGATTGAAAATTGAAAGTTTTGATTTGTTTGTATCAAAAATTTTCTTACTTGGAATTATTAACCAAAAAACTCCCATTGTTCTTTAATTTTTTTTTTTTTTAAAAAAAAAAAAAAAAAAATGGAAAAAATCAAATAAATAAATTTCAAATGAAATTGTGATAAGGAATTTTATAAAAAAGGAAATGTTTCCTTACAAGAACGTCCATCGTAATAACTTTGTATCAACCAAACAACAACCAAAACAGATAAAACATTGCAACACTGAAAGGAAAAGAAAATTTTGTTAGATCGATTGAATGTAACTTTAAAATCACAAATAATAATAATAATAATAATAATAATAGTCTGCATCAATTGAATTTATTTTCACCAATCTGATATAAAGCAAGCGTTATATACCTATCAAGGTTACAATGCGTTAAATATTAATCAATCGTTGATTTTGCTTAAATCAAGAGATATTTATAGATGTTGCTTACGAATATTCTATCGGACCGTTAAGGTTGAGATCGTTTTCATTGAATAATTGAATTTTCCAAGTTTCTATTCAAAAAAAATAAAAATGCCTATTTTCAAATGAAATCGTTTAAAGGAAAAGCAAGTCATAAAATAATAAAATAAAGTAAATTTACATACCAAAAACTGGGCAAAGAATTAATAAGAGAGTATGAACAAACATTAATGTGTAGAATGGGATTGCATGACTTGACATTTTATTTGAATGTTCAATAGACTAATGTTTCTGTAAAAATAAAATAAAATAAAATAAAATATAAAAACCATATAAAAATTTTTTCAAATTTAAATCTATAATTATTAAAAATAAATAAAAAGAATTAAAAAATATATCTGATTATATCATTATTAGAAAGTTGAATAAAGTAAATTTATTAAATTTTGCATATATCGGATCTCAAAAATAAAATCAATGGCGAAGTATTAATGATACTCCTTTGCGTTGCGAATAAACAAACAAAACGCCACCAAACCTTCGATTGTTTGTAATTGTCGTGTCTATATATAAGCCGCCTTTTCCCCTCTTTTTTTGAGCTATAAAGAGTTGCTGTGCAATTCCGAACAGATCTAATCAATCACGTAGAATTGAAAAGCATTAGCCACATACAAACTCCGACTTTACATACTTAGTGAATTTATGGTATGGAAACAATCAATCATTGGATAGACGATAAATATTTTTGGTGACTCTCCTAATTCATTACTTGATTGTCTTTTTTTTTTTTTTTTTTTTTTTTTTTTTTTAAAAAAAAAAAAAGGGGGGGGAGAAATTAAAATGAAGCCTTTAAGATTGTAATTTTGATTTTAAATGAGCGTCAACCCAATAGTATTATTGCAGCAAATAATTATTTTCAATGTAATGTAATCACCAACAAACAAATAAAGATAAAGAAAAGAAATAAGAATTTTTTATTTACCTCTTAAATATTTTAATTTGCAGACGCAGCAACGTCTTAAACGAATATGAATTTAACTACAGTTCTCTTAATGCAAAATTTATTACTATGAAATTGTTAAATAAGTGTAAAATAAATACCCTTTAATAAAATTCGACAAATTCAAAATGAAATATATTTTACTTGTCAATAATTTAAGAGTTACAAGTTTTGCATAAAAACGTCGAGACAATTTACTTAATGATGCTGAAACAAGAAATCCGGCATATCATCATTAATTCAAAAATGAATTTCCCGAAGGGAAAAATCGAAAGTTCAAATCTGTTTACGGAAAACCTCGGATTTAGGTAACCGTCGCAGCTCGGGAGGAATGATTTTTACAAATTTATACAAACATAATTGGCAATACCCGAATCATGCGAGATGCGATTGGATATTTATCAAGTTTTCGTGTAAATAAACTAAATCTCGTGAAAATTTTCATAGATTTAATTTGGCTGAATGATACCCAAACTAGTTTTCGGTTGTTTTTGTATATTAACCATCCAATAGTAAATCGGCACGAACCTAAAAGAATTATGAGCCTCACATCTTATCCAATGACAGATTACTCCCGGTTAATTAACCGGTTTAAAAAGAAATTATTTTTGTTTGACCAATCAAAAAAAAATGTTTGATGGCTGAAGACGCTATCAAATTATATTTTTAAACAACTCAAAATTACTACGCGCACACATCGTGCTATTTTTTAATATATAAAAACTTCAAAGGACCGGTTCATATTTATTTATTTACAAAACAAAAAGATTAATAAAATCGACCATTTCAACTGTCTTTTCCCTCGAATTATGTCATTTCTTTTCTTCATCATCTTCAATACCTTCAATAATAGTTTTGATGTTAAAATCTTTCTTTTTCCTCACGAGTTCATCTTCTGTTGGCAAAATTCCAGAAAACGCCATCAGTAAAAAAATAATATTTAAGCATGTATACATCCACATGAAAACAAAATTGGTAGCTCTTATCATGCATGCCAAATAAAGTTTTGGAACTGGGTATGGATAATCCGACGGACAATTAGATGGGATATCCCCAATATCGTCCCTCGTAAAATGCGTATAAACAACTTGATTTGGGTAATGGTAAAAAAAAAATTATCTTAGTTTAAACTCAAACAAAATAGGTAACGAATAAATGTGAAATACACCTGAGATTATTGTCCAAACAACTGCCAAGATTCTTTTTTTTTTTTTTTTAAAAAAAAAAAAAAAAGAAAAAGAAAACAACATTACATAAGAAAACAATAACTATAAATAATAAACAACCCGAGATGAACCAACTCACAATAATTTTTGTTTAAGTATATTGGGAGTTAATCCTGTTTGTATGCAACAAGCAATACAATTTGTTGCAATTATCCACCCTATAAAATGAGATAATTGAGTAATTGAAAGGATACGATGCATATCAGCGATTGCTCGATCTAAGGAACATAAAGACTTACATGGAACAAAACTTGCAATTAAGAAATAACTTTATGATAACAATTAATTAGAGATGATATATTTTAATAAACATTACCATTTAATTTCTAAACTCACGTCAATTCGACAGCGTTATTCAATTTTATTACATCATCGCTCCTGACAAATATAAAAGTAACAATTTTCGCGAATTCTGGGTAAAAAAAAATATACCTACAAATTAATGTGGTAAAGCGATAGTTTCAATCATTGAGATGATTAGAAATTACCGATTAAAGGAGCCAACAAAACCAACGTTAACCATAAAGTGACTAATCCGCCTAATATATATCTAGATCCTTTCTTGCAATTCTTCAAACTCAATTTCTTTAGTATTTTGTCTATCATATTTAAAAGTGGTTGTGAATGAAAAAAAAAAGAGACAATTATTTGCATATTTATTAATATAAAATATCAATAAAAATATTACCAAGCCTCTATGTACGAATTCAAGAATTTGTCCGGTTCATCAAAACATTGATTGGTATGTATAATAAATTGAAGAAATTTTATGAATTTTATTTAATTTCAGTAGGCTTAGCGTCTCAGCCGCATCCAACGTAAAATCTCATAGCAAGTGTTTAGTTTATATACATTCATAAATCTCGTAAGAAATGTTTCTAAAACAGAAATTACTGCGCAGCAGTTAGTTCTTCACAAATCATTTCATGAATTTATCTTCAGTCATATTAATTTGTAACCTAGTCAAAATACATTTACAAAAGAAAAGAAAAAAAATTTTTTGATTCGAAAATTTCTCACGTGATGATCATCAGGTAAAAATAAATAATTATTTCGTTTAAAAGAAAATATACATAGTTTTGTTCTTTTTCCTTTTTGAAATCGTGCGGTGAATATTTTTCTATTTGGACTTTCCCTCATCACTACTACCAATATCGCTCCCCTTCTTTCTACGACTGCTGCCTGCTTTGCGGCGAACGCTCTTCCTGATACTTGAAGTTCTGGATAATTCATTTCTAACACTAAATGTACAAGTGAATTAATTTCAATGCAAGTTTTCTATATCGATAATACCACTATTAACTTACCCGAGTGATGGAGAAGAATCTCCACTACCTCCAGGACTTGGGACAGGGACTTGCTCGGCTGGTACACTAACATCCCCCTCTGGTTGTTGTTCACCTAATTCAATTTTACTAAATTGATGCTGTTCTCCGTCTTTACTATCAGTTCCAAGTGGAGGTTGTATGATGCTAGGTATAGGAGGGGTAGATTTTGGTGATACAAATCTCTGCGGGATATCAACTTCTTTCTCATAGTAGCGAATTTCTGGAATTGATCTATCAACAATTTTACCTCCACTTTTTTCGTTTAATGAATTCATTCCAATAAAATATGACAAAATATTCATGATCAAGAAGAATGCGAAAGTCCACATTATCACTAAATTTACTGCGCGTATTTGACAAGCAGATTGAACTTGTGGTGCGGAATAATTGAAATCTTTTGGACATGTAAATGGTATATCGCCTAATTCATGGATCGTAAAAACCGTGTACGCAGCTATGATATGTTGTTAAATTTTGAGCGTTATGAACACAAGAATCGTGTTAATGAGAATGCTGAACAACAATTGGAGCGTCTTACATGCAATTCCTATCCATGACAACAAAAATACCAGCAAGGCTATCTTTATTGTGGTTTTAGAGACATACTCTGCATAATTGCATTTACATACATATATCAGGATTAGAACACCTGTCAAGAGAAGTCGTGACACGTGATCAATTATAATATAAATGTTCAAGATAATTATTAAGTTTTTCTCTTTATTACTTACTAGGTGCAATTAACGAGAGAACCAAATAACTGAAATCGTAAACTTTGCTTAATTATACAATTTGAACGAATTAAAGATTGATTGGAATGGGAAGATAAGAAATTTCGCCTACGTGTATTCAACGTTTGTATCATAAATAAGTACGTTTGTTCTGTTAAAATACTCAAGCTTGAGAATTTCTACAAAAAAAAAAAAAATTTTTATTTTTTTTTTTGTTTTAGCAAATTGAATAGCGTAAACGGTATACACTTAACTTACCAAAGATGGGACAAGCAAAAATAAGAATAATAAACGGTACACCAAAGAGTACGTTGACGAGTTTGCTTGAAAAGCTCGTCTCGGACATTATGCGTGTTGGTTATTGTTCAACGAATGATACATTAACTAAAAATTTAAATATTCACGTTTAAAAATATATATATATATATATATATATATATATATATATGTAAGTCGCAACATATGGAAAGTTACGAATTAGTTTAATAATTATATCACATGTTTATCCGTTAAAAACATCCTACAATAAAATTTTCCATCATTTTTCTAAGCCTTATACAGGCTGATATAAAACATTAAAAAAAAGATTTACATGGTTTTCTAAGCCACGTATGCAAACGCTAATGGTTAAAAAGGCATCGAGCGCTTTTTTGGGTATTTTGGTCATAAGCTCACTCGACCGCTAACTGTGGTTTTGGATTCAAGATTCACCTAATTAAAAAAAAAAAAAAGTATTATTCGCCCAGTCAGATTAATGACAAAAGTGGTTAACCACGGGTCCTTTATACATGTGGCAAAGCATTCGGGCTGTGATAATCTTGATTTAAATCTTGAAAAATCCTTGCTCACGTGATACAACCAAGGTTATGCCGCAGGATATAATGCGGATATTTGACCTAAACTAACTTCTGGAGTTGTAATAAAAATGTGGGCCCGATTAAAGATTTGAGATTTTCTTCGAACATAACTATTTTTTTTTTTTTTTTATAAAGAAAAAAAAAATGAATCCTCGAATATTTAAATTTATAAAGAAAAGCATATTGAGCGAACATTAACTCTATAGTGGCTTGTATAATGTTGATTTTTCGGAGTCGTGATAAAATATTATTGATCACACTTTATGTATTTTATCGTTTTTTTACAACTCAGCCAACTAAATTCTTTTATATTTTATTTTATTTTTTTAATCAATATCTAAATATTATGTCCTGAAAATTAATCAAATATCATATTTTAAGGCTTATTTATTATACATCAAAAAAAAAAGAATTTTATTAATTTTCAAAGTTTTGAAGTAGTAGTATATTATTATTAAAGAAGTGTTTCTGTGAAAAATTTTTAAAATAAAATTTCTTTATTAAATAATAATAATACAAAGCGAAATGGCAGGCAGAACTTACTTTTATTGTTGTTACATAATTTGTGTTGCTATTATTAAAATGCCTTTGTTAGTTATTTGTCCTGCGCTAGGTTAGTGTCCTTTCTTGATCCAACTTTGTTATTTGACTAGTTTGCAATTAAAAATAAATCAATCCTCATAATAAATCTTGCAGAATATCGGAAAATTGAGCTCTATAGGATTCATCATCGTAATTTCAATGAACTCTTAGAATACACGTAAGTATCACGGAATCATAAAATACCCTTTATTATTTAAACTTTATAAATGGTAAATTTTTAATCTTTTATAACAGGTATTTAATCTTTAGCTTGTTGAACTTAAGTAAGTAAAAAAAAAAAAGCATTGTGGAATTTATTTCATCCCGTATTAAATCATTTGTTTCATTCTTCAGCCGTATACTTAATTTTCTATTTAAGCTGTGGTTTTTGCAGAAGGCGGCCAACTTGGGAACTCGCGTATGAATTTTTTTTTTTAATGTATCCACGTGATTTGTTCTATTTCACGAACGCTAAAAATATTTATTTCATTAAAGTATCTCATCGACTTTGTGGCTTATTATCACAAGTAAAGCTTATTCCCATCATTCAAACTTTCATATTTTCTCGGAAACAATTTACTAACATTCATAACTATAAAAATTACCAAGATATATATACCTATCTTACTTTAGATGAATTAAGAGAAATTCCATTCTCATGTCCATCCGATTTTGATTATCGGTTCAATTCACGTCTTACATGTAAAGTTAGAACGGCCAATTTAATTTGCATGTGGTTAATGCTAATTGCTATGATACTTGCGACATCATTTGTAATTTGTATTCCTGAGGGTGATTATGATAAATTGACAAGGAGATCCAAAGTGACTGGAACCAGAGGTTTGGGCGATGATTGTAGTAGCACACGACTTACTAGCAAGCATTACGAAGATGATGACCTAATCACCGGTGATGATGATAATAATCAAGGGTCCCATTTGTGATTTCAACCCTTTATAGTTAACAATCTTTTTTTTTTTAAAAAAAAAAAATAAAAATAAAATGTCGACAGCATAATTATTCTGACATAAAAGAAATGTTGTTTCATTTAAAATACGAACCCATCTTTTTTAAAGATTTATACTTTTTTTTTTATAATCATTTCCTCTCTTGGTTAAAATCACTTGCGTTGTGAACAATAATGTAAAACGTATAGAATGAAACAGCTAATGGACTTTGTAATTCCTGCTTTAAGATCCAATAAATAAACCATTACCCTTAAAAGAATATACCACAAATACTAGAATTATATAATCTTGAGAATATTTTTTTTTAAAAAAAAATTGATACCTGATACTTGATTTCCGCATATATCGTATCGTGCCATTTAAATTGAATGTGATGTAATCCGAATAGGGGTTATTCGAAAAAAAATATATCCATCTATTGTTTGAATTTCATAAAGTACTAAAAAGAAATGTTTGATTTGGAAATAGGACCTTTTTTTTTTCTTATAAAAAGGCAACGATTTCAATTTATTATGCACAAAGAAATTAATAATAACAATTACAAAAATTAGATTTCCTTTGTCAAAGAAATAATAATCATTGATTACGCTTTCCATGATCAATGCAATTCCACATCGACTTTAACTTTGGTCCTAACCCGTCCCGTAAATCCCGACGCATTTACTATTCCCAATACCGTTGATGTGGAACTTTATTATAGTGGTCCTAAAACTAAATATTACATGATGACAGTGAAACCTCAATTAAGTCTTCAGTCCTACCGTCACGCAAAGTGGTGATGCGCCACCCTAATAAAGCTGCGTTTACTGCGTTTCCTTTGCCTTTATAATTTTTATTTTTTTTTATTTATATGATTTTAAATATCATTTTATATTAGTTTAATACGAAATTCATTTGGTATGACTCACTAATATTTATTTTATTCTGTGTAAGACACCTTTTACTGTATATAAATTTGCAATAATTTGATCTCTTTTATATGTTTATTTATGAATGACGTTGATCGAAATATAAATTATCAAAGAGAAAAGTTTATTAAGGAAAAATGTTTATTAAAGAAGAAAATAGTCTATAAATATTACTCATAATACAAAAAGCAAATGTAAGAAATATTTAATCATTAATTATAAAGAATTAAATAAACTTATAAGGAAAATATTTATAAAATTAATGTAATACTAGAAAGTTAAATAGAATTCTTAATATTAGACTTAGCTATTAGATTTTAGCAATTAGAATGAGATAAAAAACGACTGCCTTTGTAATTAAATAAAAATATTATAAATTTAATATTAAACCTTTTGATTTGTATAATGTTTTATTATTTTTTTTTTTAAATTTAGTGTTAAAAATATATATTAATCAAATTTATAACAGTTTTCATAAATAATATTATAATTGATTTAAATAGCTTTAATAAATACTGTTAATATCTCTAAATACTTTTAACTAATTAAATGTAATTTAGTATTAAATAAATAAGAAATATATAATGATAAAATATTTAAGAGAACACTGCAATTTTAAATATAAAACTAATTTATTTTAATATCTAAAATATAAAAAAATTTTAAATTTTCCTATTTTAAAAAATAGTAAACAAATTAAATATTTTTTCAAACTAGCATTATATTATCATTAAAAAAATTAAACTATTAAAATTACTTAAGAAAAAATAAGTCGATAAAATTAAACAAATAAATATTTAAATTTATAAAAGAAAAATTAATATAAGTTTTTAATATTAGAATACCTAATGTTAAATTTTAAAAATCTTTTATTTTTATTAATATTTTTAAGATAAAATAATATTATAGTTAGTTAACATAGGTGATAAATAAGTATTATAGTATTATAACTAATTATAACATTATTAAAAACTAAGTTATAACTAGTTATTAACAAGAAATAAATAAGTATTCTAGTATTATAATACTATTTTTTTAAGAACTATTATTATATAATAGAATAATAAAGAAAAAGAAAATAATTATATATACAAGTAATGCTAAATAAATATAAATAAAATTTTATATACAGAAATTAAATCAATTAACTATTCTATTATTATACTTCTTTAAATCTTTAGATATCAACTTTTAATACATCTTTTAAGTTTAATATTTATTCAATAAAAAAAAATATTATAAAAATATTAATAATAAATTTAATTTAATTTAAAAATAAAAAATTCTAATAAAAAAAATTTGCAATTAAAATTAAGGTATAAACATAGTAAATTATATAATCCTTAATGTAATTTTAATAGCAAATTTTCAAATTTTTCATATTTTTATAGTAACAAATGAGAAAATATAAATATAACCAGATTTATATATAAATAATTACTACATTTAGTTTGTGATAAAATCTAATTAAAATATTTAGAAATAATCCAATTATAGTTTAAACAAATTTTTACTATATATCATCAATATTAATTTTAAATTTTAAAATCAATCTAGACTCAATTTTAACTATCTAATATTTAATATATTACTTGCTATCTTTTATAACTTTCAGTTATCATAAAAATATGTCATATATATTAGTGATAATAAGTGATTCAAATGATTTTAAATAATTCAAATAACTGAACATGTATTATTAAAATAATTTAAATAATTGGTCATATATTATTTTGAAATATTTTACCATTAAATAACAAATGATCTAATCATTTAAGAATCATATCATGTGATCATAATAATTCTAATTAAAAATATTTATGTAATTTAATTTTCAAATAAAATAAATTTATAATTTTATTATCATATTTAATTTAATCTGTATTATATTTAAATAATCCATATGACAAATGATTTTAAATGGTTATTTTAAAATAATTAAATAACTTGATCATTTATTATCACTAATTTATATAGATTTTAAAGTCTAATTTTAATCTCTTCTAATATATTAAAATTTATATTATACTAGTTACTATTAAAAAAATATTGATAATATAAAAAATACAAAATATTTGTATTATTTTTAATACTCTATAACTTTAATTAACTATTAATATTTTGTAATTTCTAGAATTAATTCTAAAAGTGATTTTTATAAAAATAAAATATGATAACTTTACATCTAATCAAAGGTTAAAAATAAATTTTATATAGCAAATTTTATATTTTAGCTATTTTTCTAGATCATTCATATTATATGTTATTATAAAATTCATTCTAAAGATGATTATTCATAAAATACTAAGATAAATAAATCTAACCAAAAAATTCAATATATGAAAAATCTAATTAAAATTGTATAGTCATACTAATACTATTTTTTTAGACTATTCTTATTATATAATATACAAGAATAAAATCTAAAAAGTGATTCTTTAAAACTATTAAAGTAAAAATCTTACTAAAACTTTTAATAATTTAAAAGCTTAACTAAAAATTGTTAACTAATTTAGATTCTTTAAAATCTTATTATGTAATCTTTAATTATATTTAATCATATAATATTCTTTAATATATAATTGACATTATCTAAAAGTTAATCTAATAAGATAGAATATAAATATGCATTTTAACTTTCTAATAAAAATAATACCTCTTAGAATATATACAAAGCTTATTACCAAAATTATACAAATATAAGCAAAAATATTTACTAATCATTTTTAAAATATAAAAAATTAATTAATTAAAGAAAAGATTTTATAAAAGTAATGTATATATATCAGTATAACAAAAAGTAAATAATATTAGTGATAATTTGTATGTATTACTAAATAACTGTATTAATTAGAGTTAATAATGAACACAATGTGTAAATGGGGGTTTTGGGACAAAACACCCACACATTGTGTGTGGGGTCCTCTCTAAGCTTAAAAATAA